GTTCTCAATTTGGCTATCCATTTGGCTGTGTTAATACCCTTAAGCTAAATTAAATAGGTTCAGTGTAAAATGTGGTTGCTTTCATTAGGTAGGTTGGTACAGAGTTTCTGATGAGAAAGAATGTGAAATATTCCATTAAAATAGATGGCTAGTTCTTTACACATAGCTCTTAGGAAGACAAGGTTAATTTTGTTTATAAAACATGCCTAATAAGGTTTTGGAGAAAATAAAAATATGCATACTCAAAAATAAACAAATTAGCTGGGCGATGGTGGCACACACCTTTCATGCTAGCACTCAGGAGGCAGAGGCAGGCAGATCTCTGTGAGTTGGAGGCCAGCCTGGTCTACAGAGCTAGTTTTAAGACAGGCTCCAAAGCAATACAGAGAAACCTTGTCTCGAAAAAATAAAAATAAAAACAAAAAACATTATGTGAGATGAATTCAAAATTATGTTCACAGCGCAGTGGTAGCTTTTGACTTTAATTCTCTCACTGAAGAGGAAGAAACAGGCAGATCTTAATGAGTTTGAGGCAGCCTGGTCTTTACCAGCTATGGCTCCATAATGAGATTATGTCTCAAAAGATCATGCCAAATGCTAGGCTGTGGTAGTGTCTGCCTTTAATCCCAGTACTTGGGAGGCAGAAGCTGGAAGTTTTCAGTGAGTTCAAGGCCAGCCTGATCTACAAAGTGAGTTCCAGGAGAGCCAGGTATGTTACACAGAGAAACTGTTTTGAAAAATGCCAAAAACAAAAACAAACAAACAAACCAAAAAAAAAAAAAAAAAACCAAAAGCAACTCCCTAATAAACAATAAAACAACAATCCATATCAAAGAAACAAAATGTTTTCATTCAGAATCAAGACAGTTGTCTTCAATCAATTCATCAGTTCTCCCAAAGACACACAAGTCCCAACTTCCTGTGTCATCATGTGTCCATTGTGTCTGCATATGACTGAGTGACACAATGAGGGAAGTCACTGTTTAGAAGGGCTGATAAAAATATGTTGAACCTGGCTGGGCAGAGTGACTCTGGGCTTTGGGACCCTCTCAGGGCCTTTTCCAACTCTGAAATAGTAAGTAGTGCTCCTTTTCCTCCCAATTCTTCCTCCCAGCTCCACCTCCAAACCAAAAGCAGCCATCTGATCAGATGCTTGAGTTCTAACAGATGACATCCATTTTTTTCCCCCGTCAGTGTCTAGATGAACATTGTTCCTTTTGTGAAAAAAATTCAGAAAAGCCAAGAGTAGCCTGAATGTCTCTCACTTATTCATTGAATCATTCCCCAACAGTTTTATTTTTTAGTTTCTATATATGTACCTAGTTTTGGATTAATTTGGTGTCTATATGTGGTCACAGATCTCCAGGAGTTTAAACAGTGACTCTAGCCTCTAGGATTCTGAGATTTGCTATTGCCTTCTCTGAAATTTACTTTTGTTTACCTGCCTATTGATTTTGCATGTATAGTTTCAATGTAGGATTGGCTGTCCAGTTTTCAGGCTATCATTTAAAAGACAATGTAACTGAAGGTGACCTTGAACTTTAGGGTCCTCCCTTCTTTTCCTCCCAAAGGCAGGGATTGTAGGTATTTGCCACCATGAGTTATCTGTGTCAAAATATCCAATACCCTTTTCTAAAAGTGCCTTCCAGTCCTGCCCAGATTCCTGAGTGCCCACCTAACTCATCCTGCAGATGTCCTAGATAGTATGTGACCGACTACATCCAATGTGTCATTCAGAGGTGGAAGTTAGTAGAGATGGGGTGAAGGCAGGAGCTCATTCATGTCCAGCCCCATGAGCATTGATTGGGGGAGCTGACACTTCATCACAGTACCACAGTTTGGGAGGGGAGAGACCTGACTAGGATACATAAGAACAAGTTTCACAGATAATAATTACTTAATTTTCTGTCCTGGACTGGGCACAATTGGTTGAGGTAGAGACTCATGTCTCAGATGCAAGTCCTTGAGCCCAAGCTGGACCTGGAAGAGATGAAACAGACATGGGGGAGGACATGATTCGCTCTGAAGGGATTGAGCTCATGGCCGTGTTCCTACTTGAGTCACTCTATTATCCTGAAGAACCTTGGTATTGCCTGAAGGTAGGGGCCCGGCTTCAAGCTTGGCATGAAGATCCTGGTTGTTGTCCTTGTTTTCTCTCTACAGGTGAATTAGGCCAAATAAAAGGCCTCAGACTATACCTGACTACTTATGAGATCCACCAGTATTTTATGAATTTAGCAGAGTCACTGTATCTGGGGCAGGAATTAGAAGGAACAGCTGTAGCTGGGCGGTGGTGGCACATACCTTTAATTCCAGCACTCTGGAGGCAGAGTCAGGAGGATCTCTGTGAGTTTGAGACCAGCCTGATCCACAAGATCTAGTTCCAGGACAGCATACAAAGCTACAGAGAAACCCTGTCTTGAAAAACAAACTAAAGAAAAAAAGTTAAAAAAAAAAAAAAGAAGGAACAGCTGTTTTCTAGAAGTTCTTTGACCTTGAAGAACCCTTGTAGAAAACAGTGATTGTTTGGCTGAAGGGTCACTGCAGCCATCCCATGACTTTGGTCATACCCCTGGCATACCTGAAGCTCTTGTATTATTATGTATTACAAATTATACCTAACAAATTACTGGACTCCTGGGGTCATGTGATCTTCCGTAAGACATGTTAGATTTGGGACCTTGGTATGAGGAAATGCTTTGTGTAATAATAAATAAGCCTTTGTATGGCTGTTTTGGGTTGAGTCAATCAGAGACTGGGTCTTCTTGCTCCCAGATAGGCCTTAAAATTTCATCTCGGAGTGATGCCTTGTTTTCGAAAAGATTTATTAGAAAACCCTCACCTTAACAGTCATTCATTGAAATGGATGGGGAATGTATATCTATTTTGTTTGTTTGTTTTTCTGAGACAGTTTTATCTGTGTAGCTATGTAGCCTGTCCTGGTACTCCCTCTATAGATCAGGCTGGTCTCAAACTCAGAGATCCTCCTGCCACCTGAGTGTTCCAATCAAAAGTGTGTGCCACCAACACAGGCTAGATCTCAGAGTTTGAGGCTAGACTAGTGTACTTTCAGAATGGCTAGTTATGCAGAGAAATCATGTTTCAACATACAAACAAAATGTTGCCTCTTCCAGAATGACTCTAGTCTGTGTCAAGTTGACAGTAAAAATGAGCCAGCATAACAGTATTATAGAAGTGACAAGACTTATTTTAATTAAAGTTTGAATACAGGCATGGATTTTTCTATGACTGTGTAGCAGCTTTGTACAGGTACCCAAGGAGGCCAGAACATATGGATACTGGATCTGGAGATACACATTTTTGAACTTACCTGACCTGGGTTCTGGAAATTAAACTCAGGTCTCAATTCTCTAGGCCTCTTCTGTCTACATATTTTAAGTATTATTGTGTGTGTGTTTGCACCACATTTATACAGTGCCTGTGGAGGTCATAAGAGATGTCTGATCCCTTGGAACTGGAATTACAGAGGGTTGTGAGCCACTGCATGGTTCTCAGATGTCTCTCTAGCCCTCTTCTGTTGACATTTCTACTTTCGTTCAGATTGTAATAAGACATACATACAAGTGACACTGTATAGATTTTACAGGAATATATAGGGATATTTATACATGCACATATGTATATATGTGCATGTAATACCCACTAATGAAAAAGAGGTCTTGAGTTTGAACAACAGATATATGGCAGGGTATTTAAGAGATGGGGAGAAATGTGTAATTATATTATAATATAAAAAGAGAATATATAATCGGTGAAGGTCCTTCAGTTATGTTTTATGAAGCATCCTTGCCATTCCCTGATTGTGGAGGGTAGAGTCAATGTTGGGAGTCAGCCGTACCTTCTATTAAATGGGTATCCTGGATCAAACTCAGATTGCCAACGTTAGCCCCAGGTACCCTTTACACATTGAGCAATCTTGACTACCTGTATTTTTACAGCCCTAACAATAAAGAAAAAACAAAAACAAGAACAAAAGCTATGACACAATGTTCTTTATTGCTATCTCCTTATTCACATACAAGCAAAACCAATGACTAGGCTCAGACACTTATTAAAAACAAAACAAAACAAGACAGGCCAGTTATGATGGCCGGTAAGATTTTCTGAAGGAGGCAGAGGCAGGAGTATCACAACTTCCAGGCCAGCCTGAGCTACACATTGCCAGGTGTTGGTGGCACATGCCTCTAATCCCAGGACCTAGGAGGCAAATCTCTGAGATTGAGGGCATCCTGGACTACAGAGCTAGTTTCAGGACAGTCAAGGCTAGGTACACAAAGAAACCCTGTCATGCAAAACCAAAAAATAAAATAAAGACAGTCACAACTAGGAATTTATTATAGAGAACCTAGGGACTGGCAACACTTAAGGATGAGACATAGACCTTTGTTTTTGTCCTGAAGGTCTTAATGTGCAGGTAGCCAGACAGTTGGGAACCCTGAAGTATAGTGCCCCACAGTCAGGTGGCCTAACAAGCTGGAGTTGCTGGTATCTGTTAAAGACCCCCTTAATCTCTTTGTGTCAGGAAGAGGATGAGGAGTCTGTGGCAAGCCTGCTCATCCCCAATTCCTTTGCCTTCTGTCTTTTGTCCTGCTTAGGTCATATTTGATATCCCCACAGCCCCTTCTAGCCTGATTACCCTGGATTGCAGTCTGATGCCCATGCACCAAAACTTCCTACTTCAAATATTGGCTTTGCTTACTTTGATGCTTTACAATACCACGATGTGCAGAAGCAGAGAATATCCGGTTCTCAGGCTCTCACCATCATTTGGAATGCTGGAGAAAGGCCCTGCAGAGGCAATCCTGACAGGAGCTCCATTTGGAAATGGTGAACTCTCTCCACAAGACATGTTAACCTGACTGTCCCAGTGTGCTGCTCAGTGATGCCAGCTTCCTTGCTTTGTCCCCACCACACTGAATGATGTCCAAAACCACGTGTCCTGGGGTCCATGAATTCATGTCTTCTTGCCCAGAAGGCATTTAGGTTGAGCACTCACAAAGTGTGGTCTCCAGTTCATGGACATAACGCTTGCCACAATCATAGCAGGCTGTGCTCTTAAAGCAGAGTGACTTGAACTGCCTTATAGAGACTAGTGTGTTCCTGAGCTCATCACAACACTGGGAGAATTCCTCCACTTGGATATAACCAAACTCATCATAGACTTCCTTAGGAGCAGGGTAGAGCTCCTTGGTCAGCTGGCTTAGGTTGGCAGTATGGTACAGAAGGTCCTTCAGAGCATCGATGGAGAAGTCATTGTCAACGAAATTGATGGTGGTCAGCTGGGTGCATTGGCTCAGGACTGGGAGAAGGCCACGGAGGTCAGCATCCTTCATCCCACAGTCTTTTATTTTTAGGGCCTGCAGAGTGTGTGCAACACTCTCTAGGAAAATTTCAAGAGGCATGAAATCCACATTAGTTAAAATGAGGCCTCTCAAGTACAGATGTTTAAGCCCAGATTGACTCCATTGGGCAAAGGAATCCAAATCTGACTGTGAGAACTTGCACAGAGAGATGGTCAGGCACTCCAAGGGGGTCTTCAGGCACCTAAGGAGAGACCAAGGGATTAATTTGAAGCATACTGGTGGGTTTGTGGTAGAGGTAGAGGGGACCACATAGCCAGGGTGAGTGGGATCATGGGATTGCAATGAGCACAGTCAAGCCCTTTGGACTCCACTTACTCAGGCCACACCCCTTTCACCCTGGGGCATCATCTTCATGGTGGGACTGGCACATTCCACAGCTACCTTTCCCATTCTTCAGTGGTAAAGAGACACTCACAGTTGCTATGGCTAGAGGGCCCATAGGAAGGTGTTCCTAGCAGGTTTTTCTGGCCAGCCTGGTCGCAGAGCCGTGCCAGCAGCAAATGCTGTATTAGATATAAAGCTATTGACCTGTTACTAGTGTTTCTTATTGGCTAGCTCTGCCTTAAATGTTAACCCATTTCTATTAATCTAAGTGTTTCCATGTGGTCTTATCATACTGGAGAAAGGATCCTGAGTTTTCTCTCAAGTCCCCTGAAACCTCCTTGTCTCCTGGTCCTGCCTATCTTGCTTTCCTATTGGCCAACAGGGCTTTATTCATCAACCAATAAGAGAAACATAGTGACAAAATGATATCTCTCATCAGGAAGGAGAAAGATGGGGCCTACATGACCACATGACAGGTTGCCTCCTGAAGAATCATGACTCCCTGTCTCACGGTTCACTCCTCAGCCCTGACTCTGAACCTCAGTTTTTCTACTTCATTTCCACTTAGCCCACTCCTGCTTTCCACTAGATCTGACCCATCTACCATGGCAGCTCTGTCCATACAACCCAGCCCACTTCATTGTTCAGCTTTGTGAATGGTCACCTGGGCCCTTGAATTGGTTCATAGGGAATAAGGGCATCCTTACACATTCATTGTGAAATGCCATGGTCTGCAGAATCCAGGTGCCCACTACTCTCTCATATAGAAAGGAAAAGTTTGCTGTGGTAGCAGAAACTGCTCACCATCTTTCTCACCTGAGCAACTGTTTCATGTGGCCGTGGAGGAAATAGACGTCCTTTATGGTGAGATGCTGCAGACAGCTGAGATCGGAAAAGAGAGAAATGATCTTGGTGACATGCTGCTCCTCTGTATTGATGGCAGTCCTTCCTTGGAAGAGGCGTATGAGCAGCATTTTGTGAAGATTCCTCATCTTTCTGATGTAAGGGACAAACTTTGCCAGTGTGGAGAGACTCCATACTGTATTCAGTTCCAACTCCTCGATGAACTGTGGCTGTAACATTTTTAAGACACTCCTGACTTTGTGGAATGCCACTGTCCCAATCTTCAGCTTCACACAGCACACCTGCAGGGAAGCCTGTCTCTTCTCCACCCACTGCAACAACTGTGTCTGGTGTTCATCCTGGGGGAGCTGAAGTTCGGTCACGACCTCCAAACGATGCTTCAGTGTGGATGGAGAATGACCCTTCCATACGTGGACATTCCTCAAGTCAACCACTTGAAGCTTCTGCCCTCTGTAGATAAAAGAGAAATGACGGAAGGGAAGTTGGGACCCAAAACTGTTTTCTCCATCTCTGGAATCCCCTACTAACCCCCCCAACCCTGTCTTCTTCATGTCTGTGGTTTTCAGTGGTAGGTCTCCAACACAAAAGTACCTCAAGCTGGCCACACTGGAGCTCTTAGCCTGAGCTGTATCTGCAGGCCTGTCCTGTTTCCCTCCATTCGGTAGCTCTGGGTTCCTGTCAACTCCAATTACTGTTACCTGGCAGAGACTCGGGGACAGGGTCATTCTCCTTTGAGATGCTCCAAGAGGTATCTCTTACTTAACAGATACTTACTAAATTGACTCAACGGCTGCCAAGGCCTCTGTACCCTCCCCCCCCTCCCAGTATAGCAGAAAAAGTGTCTGACCCACCTTTGGCCCCATACTCACTGAGCCCAGATGTTCCTTCCATGTACCCCAGTGTGTGGCATTTGGCAGTATATGGTTATTACTTACCTGGGACAATACTTTCTCCTCAGCCATGTGTCTACTCCATCCAACATAGCCTGGTAGGTCTCCAAGGTGGGGTTATTCATGAGCATCCCAACAGGAAGGCAAGGGTAGGGCCACTCTGCCACCAGGACCTTAATCAAATCTGATTTTCTCTGAGTGTTGGCCTCCTTGAACAGTGGGGGAAAGAGATGAATTGGCAGGTCCTGCAGACTAGAGTTGGACAAGCTTTCATTCCTTATCAGGCTTTGCACTGCCAGCTGCAGGAGTGTGAGTGGGTCCTGGAAACTCATTCTGATGGATGTTAGGGAGATGATCCTGGCTGGGGAGAATTTAGGAGAAAACACATTGTCAGAGTCTTTCTTAGGAAGCTTTCTCCCCCTCACAGTGAACATCCGTCATCACTCTGGCCTTGATGGAGAGTTGAGTTTATTCACTGAAGTCATTTCACTCTGAATCCCATACCCTTTGGAAGGATGAATCCAGGAAGGAGAAATCTGAGCTCCATTGTTTCTGGCAAAAAGTATACTAAGCACCTTTTAGGAACAATGGAAATGTTATGTGCCCACCCTACCCATACTGATCCTGCCTGGCAATGACTGAGGAGAACCCCTGTGAAATGGGTCCTTGCTTTTAATTTTCAAAAATTTAGAGCCTGGTTTGGGGTGCCTAGCTATGTCATACTACTCTGTAGTACAGAGTGTACTGGGTATGTGTTTGGAGAGCTGGTGGGAGGTCATGTCTTTGTTGAGACAGGTTTTCACTCTGTTGTGTGTAGCTGGCTGTGCAGTCCAGGCTGAACTCCGCTCACCCTAAGGTCCTAGAATTGTACACTGGCTGACCATATTCCTTAGCATGTTGTCATTCAAGCAATTGCCTTTAAAGTCCTGCATGATGTCAGTGTGTTTGGCAAGAACCTAAAATTTCATTACTTTGGAGGCAGATGCAGGAGGATTCCATGCAATCTAGTTTATACTTTGAGTTTGAGGCCAGGCAAGTAATAGAGGTTTCAAAAACAATAATAACAAGCGCTCTACCACTGAGCTGTATTCAACTCAATCCTTTCCTTTATTTTATAGAGACACAATGTCACTCATGGGTGCGGGCTCTCCTAGAGCAGGGAATTGGTTTCCTCACATCTCTAGTACTAGGATCTCTGGCTTATTTTAATGTCAGCTTGAGGTGGGGACTTGTCAAATTGACCAGACAGAAGCCACTGTTTCCCAACAGGCACTGTCCGAAGAATCACTATATCTTGTGGCCCCTCTTAACAAAACCATCCCCAGGATTGTTTTCAACAGACTGATACAAGTCACTTCAACTGGCTGGGTGGTGGGGACACATGCCTTTACTTCCAACCTTGAGAGGCAAAGGCAGAGCAGCCTGGTTTACAGAGTGGGTTCTAGGACAGCCACGGCTAAACAGAGAAACCCTGCCTCAAATAAAAACAAAACAAAATAAATTTCTATTTCAATTAAAGCACAAAATTGCAACCCGTGAAGTATAATTCCTGGGATTAGGAACATACTAAACAACAATGAGACCATGAGGGCGGTGTTGTCACATTCCTTTAATCCCAGGTCTCAAAGGCAGAAGCAGGCAGATCTCAGTGAGTTCAAGGCCAGGCTGGTCTACAGAGTGAGATCCAGGATTGTTACACAGAGAAACCCTATCTGGAAAAAAAATAAGAGACCATAACTAAAACCAGCATAGCAGAGAGGCAGGTCCAGGGCTAGAAAGTCAGAAGTAGAAGACCAACCTGGGCTTTGGGAAATTGTGACTCAAAAGTCATGAAAGATCTGAACAACCTAAAACTTAAAGCATAAATTATGGTCTATCAGTCATTTCATATTTAAAAAAAAAAAAAAAAAAACATCTTCAGGGCCTTGATTGGTGGAATTGATCCCTGCACTGGGGAGGCTGGCGGATCTCTGAGTTCGAGGACAGCCTGGTCTACAAGAACTAGTTCCAACACAGCCTTCTAAGCCACAGAGAAATTGTGCCTCAAAACAAGCAAACAAACCAATCCAAAAACAAACAAACAAACAAAACATTTAAGCAGGTGTAGGTGGCACACGCCTTTGATACCAGCACTCAGGAGGCAGAGGTAGGCTTGTCTCTGTGAGTTCAAGGACAGCCTGGTCTAGAGCTAGTTCCAGGACAGGCTCCAAAAGAATAGAGAAACCCTGTCTCAAAAAACACCTAAATCATTGGCAGTGGTGGTGATCACCTTTTATCCCAGCACTAAGAGGCAAATGTAGGTAGATTTCTGAGTTCACAGCAAGCCTAGTCTACAGTAGGTGTTCCAGGACAGCCAGGGCAACAGAGAAACTGTCTAAAAATCAAGTAAACTAGAAGCATAACTACACCAAGACTAGCATGAAAATAAAGAAGAAGAAGCTGGGGGGTAATTTTAAAGTCATTTTACTTCAATTTAAAAAAAATCTTGACTTTGGTGTTTGGCTATTGGGACTGCATGTATGTATATGCAACATTCCCATAAAGTATCCAGATCATCAGAGGGCTTTAGGTGACTTACAAATGTCTGTGATCTGTGATGTTGGTCCTGGGATTGGACAGCCAGAGTGGTGTCTCATCTGCTTTGCCATCTCTCCAGTCCCTAAAGAGCATTTTAAAGCCCAGGTCATAATACAGAGGTGAGTGTTTTCCTAGAATGCAAGGGGGTCTGGGTTCTAGTCCAGCACTAGATTAAACTGGAAAACACTAGAAGCCAAACACAAGACCAGCACTTTAGATGAAAACACACTCAAGGTCATCCTGGGCTCCATGAGATTATGTCTCAAAAATGAAACTTTCAGAACATTCCACCTCTCATGAGGAAGATTACCAGTTCAAAGTCAGCCTAAGTTACAGAGAATTCATGACCTAATAAAATTCTATCATAAAGCCAGGCGATGGTGGTGCATGCCTTTGATCCCAGCATTCAAGAGGCAGGAGCAGGCAGTTCTAACACAGCTAGTTCCAGGACAGGTTCCAAAGCAACCAAAGCAATACAGAGAAACCTTGTCTCAAAAACAAACAAACAAAATCTATCACATATAAAATTCCTGTAGCCCTGGCTGTCCTGGAACTAGCTCTGAAGAGCAGGCTGACCTCAAACTCATGAAGATCCTCCTGACTCTGCCAATATGATGGGATTAAAGGCACCTGTCCCTACCACCAACTAGAAGCACATTTTATTCCATGATCATAATTGGGAAGTGGAAGCAGCAAGATAGTTCAAGGTCATCCTGTGTCACTTATCTCTAGGCCAATATATTCTGTATTGTTACCTTGTCTCCAAAAACTAAGAGGAGTTTGAAAATACATTTAGGGTTTTGAGCTCCACACTCAGGAGGATCAGCCAGTGAATTCCTGAAGGTTCGAGTCTAACATGCACTAACGAAACAGACTATTTCAAAAAGCAAAGCAGAAATGAAGACACGGATTATCTCCCAACAGGAATCCCAGAAGTAAGGAGGCTGAAGCAGAAGCCATGCCTGGGATTCAAACGTTCAAGGTTTACAGAGTGAGGCCTTGTCTCAAAAGAACGATATGCAAGATAATTACTTGATATGAACCAGAACATGGTTGACCATGGAGGCCATTCCAGCACTCAGGAGGCTGAGACAGGAAGATCTAGAGACCCAAATCAGTGCAGCAGCCTGGCCAGGACGAAGAGAGTCTGTGCAGCACAGTGAGGCTGTCTCAACAGCCGGAACTAAACCAAGCAAACATAGGGAACACCTGAGAAGAAAGCACACCGGGGTTTTGAGGCCCAGTGTCTTCTGTCTGTCCATGAAGAGACAGTTTTCCGGATACCCTGTGCTGTCTTGTGTCTAAAATGTCTCCGAAGCAGTCCGGGAGTCCTGAGGGAGGTAAAGGACTCACCTGACCTGGACACGGGTGACAGGCCACAGAGCTCTGAGGGTCTTCTCTGGCTCCTATGACACTTTCAAAGAACTTTCTCCTCTTACCCCTTAGCAGCTGCACCACCAACAAAAGCTGCCACCTGATTGGATGATTTCGCTCCACCCATTTAATCTTTTATGGAGCTTCTTTCTCCATGCACTTAGAACCAAAGCTCCCAGGGGGAAGGAAGAGAGAATTTAGAACCTAGGATGAATCTCAGGAGTCCATGCATGGATTCACTTCACAATGGTATGAGTTCATGTAGTTTTCAAAATTCATTTATTTACTTATTTATTGCACTTGGCTCTTGAATTACTTCTGGGAAGGACTCTTACTTTGCAAATGACCTTGTTTTGGAATCTCTACAATCCTCCTGCTTCATCCTTCCTTCAGCTGGCTGAAGTTTGTTTTTATGTTCCCCACATTGTTCTGAGTATGAGTCAGCGTGAAATTTATCTGTAACTGATAATAGACAAAAAGTAAGACAATAAGGTGAAGTTCTTATTGTCATAGGTGAGTGTGTTCTGGAGTTCAAGGCTGAGCTGCTCTCTGTCAGGAATTTACTGTGGCAGGTCTGAGAGACCAGGGTGGGAGGCTGGGGAAGGAAGAATTCAAAGGCCATCCTCAGCTACCCAGCAAGTCTTGGAACAACCAGAGCTAATGGAAATTGTCTTCTAAAAACAACAATGGCTTGAGGGAGAGGCCAGCCTTAGTTCCCCAGGGGGCAATGGTGTTAGATAAAGATCAGACTGCAAACTGGATAGAAAGGAGGAAATTGACCTTGGGGGGGGGGGGCAGGGTGTGGTGGCCACACCTTTAATCACAGCACCCAGGAGACCTAAGTTGAAGGATCCCTGTGTCTTGATTCCAGCCAGGTGGACAAAGGGAACTTTATGGTGAGACTGTCTGAAAATTAAAAATGCAAAAAGAAAACAAAAAACATTTTTTCCCCCCAAAAGCTGGGTGTTGGTTGGGAATGCCTTTGATCCCAGCACTTGGGAGGCAGAGGCAGGCAGATTTCTGTGATTTGGAGGGCAGCCTGGTCTACAAGAGCTAGTTCCAGGACAGGCTCCAAAGCAATACAGAGAAACCCTGTCTTAAAAACAAACAAACCCAAACAACAACAACAACAAAAACATTTTTTTTATTTAACAAGGGAGCTGGATAGTGAAAGGACATCACTGGCAATGGTGTTTGGGCCCAACCTGTACTATATAACTTCAGTTACAGGGACCCCATGCCTGAGAGAGAGAGAGAGAGAGAGAGAGAGAGAGAGAGAGAGAGAGAGAGAGAGAGAGAGAGAGAGAGAGAGACGCCCCTGGACATTCTACACCTCTACATGTGTTCCCCACAAATCTTCCGAAATAGAAATTAATGTCTG